ATATATATATATATATATATATATATATATATATACTTTCATTTAATAAGTGAACGATGAAAAGAGAATCGTTGAATAGTGTAAGTATCAATAAAAAAAATGATTATGGAAAAATATAGCTGTTTTAAAATAAAAGTAATATTTAAAAGTCAAAGTCATTAAACATTTCGAAGCGATTCGATATGCAATAGTGAATATATGTATGTATACATATATTTAGGAAACAAAGCATATGTTCATGCAAGTTAGATATTTGCACGAATCAATGTTTAGAAGGGCAAAATAATAACGAAAAATTTACGTAATCACAATGTAAAAAAAAAAAATACATATTTTTAATGAGCACATAAAAAAATTTAATGAAGAAAAAAAAATAGTTAAATGAGAAGCAGACTTATCGATGTAATAACTTGATCAAAATTGATATTTAATCAAAATAATAAGAAATAGTGACCAAGTTAACATTATGATATGCGAGGCTAAAGAAATTAGGTCGGCCAATGCGCCAGAAACGTGCGTGCATGCGTGTGTACAATAGAATTGGGAAAAGGATAATTGTCATTGTCTTACCCTAAGTAGTCTCCGACCAGATTTGCTTAATAATTTTCTCAACATATCGATGTTAAGCTCTCGACTATATTTCGATGCTATCCGAATTTTGACAGAAAAATTGAATGCGACGAATGTAAAATTGATTTTTGACCAATGTGAACTCTCACCGTGCCAACGATTCGGTTAGATGCGCACGCCTCGGCGTCACGCGACCAAATACCGCTCCGAGTCAGTATACCGTTCTATTTATCAACTTTGCCCGATCTTATCGTACCACACCGTACAAACTTTTCTATCCCCACTCTAATACCCACTATGTATTACTATATATTATTTTCGAATAGAATCGCGTTTATAAGTGTATATACTTATGAAAAGAAAGAAATCAAAAAAAAGAGAATCAAGTAACTTATATACTTTCATTAATTCTCTTTTTCTAACAAATACATACATACATTATTTTTTTGGAAATTAAAATATTTCAAAATTTCTTTTGTATATATTTTTATATGAAGAAAAAAATTTTTTTTTTTTTTTTTCTTATTCGATATACAAAATATCGATAAAAACGCAAATTATATATAAAAAGCGCGTAATATATTTGCAAATTGATCGCAAGATCGATTTCAAATTTACAAAAAATAATTTAATATAAACTTCTATTTTTTAACTTCTAAATTTTTATATTTATATGACAAATTTATATTCGGGATATTTAAGAAGTAATTTTGATATTATAAGAAGTAATCACATTTCGTATTGTTATCAAGATTTTTTTTAAATAAGAAATAAAGAAAATCTGTTACTTACAAATAAGTATGTAAGCGATTGTTCATCATGATAATCGCATAAGCAAGATCCATATAATTAAAATTCGAAAACAATGAATATCAAAATAGAAGTGACAAGAAAGAAAGAGATAGTTAAAGAAGGGAGGTGTTCATTGAAAAGTTGAAGGGTGATCGGCGCGTGGCATGGTCGCGTGTACGCATGCGCATACGCGAAACTAGGAGCAATACGTAGTACTATATATGCACGTGCGCGACGTAACGCGTGTGAGCGAAGTTGTTCTCACGCAGCGACACGCGTCCACCATCTCCCTAATGCGTGCGCCACGTGCCATCTCGATGCACTTACGGAAAACTCATAATTGTCATAACATTCGAACTAAGCTCGCTTAAAAGAACGCCAATACCGGCTACTCGATACTTGCAAAAGTACCCTTCTTTTTCTTTTTTTGAGATAAATGGCTACTTTCTTTATCCATAACTTCGTAATATCATTCTATCTATGATATTTGCGTTTACTATTTTCAATCGTCAAACGAAAATTTTTTCGATTATAAAGCATCGATTTTCAAATGTTATTCTGCGAAAAAATAAGGAAATAAAATATTAAAAAATTTAAAATCATTCAGATATCAAACAAAGATAAACATACAATAATTATAAGATTATATCATGTGTTATATATTTGACATCATCGTTTCAACTGATGATATTATATCAAGATTGTTTGATCGAAACTAAACATTTAGTAAAAAAAAAAAAAATAAAATAAATAAATAAAACAATTCTTCGGAAAAAACTTTTATATTTTATATTTTCTTGAAAGAAAACAAAGAAAGAGAGACTAGTGATTTTGATTAAATAAGAAAGAGCGTAATAATTTTTGAGGGAAACAATTGCCGATAGCGATAGAGTAACGAGCGACGCGTGCCATGTCACGTGTCCTACAAAGCGCACGCTCAAACATTATATTATACATAGTATATAGGAGGTGGTGCGCGTAAAATAAGTCTCGACTAATTGCGTCGACTGTTCCATTAGAGATTAAACTTCAAACGAGGTTTGGTCAGATTCGTTCGGTTAATTAAGACGGCTCACCCAAGTATAACTCTACTTTTCATGCTTTTCATAGAAAAAGAAAAATAACATCGAATATCCCATAATCGCCACATCATGCCGAAAATCACGAATGTGTCCATTGTCTGCCCACTTTGTAATCGATTTAACAAAGTATCTACATTATCCAAACAAATGCGCAAAATAAACGTGCATTATTTCCCAACAAAAATGGAAATTTGTTCGTTCTTCTAATAAGGATCAAATATTGCAATGGTGGTTATTTATTTTAATCCGCCATATAAATTAAAGAGATAATCGGAAATTTTATTATATTTATTAATAATATTTAAAATTGTTCTTTTCACAGCGCCATATATTGCTTAAGTATTCCATTGTATCAATCTGATTTTTTAAAAATTATACATCAAACTTTTAACGATAATCTTTTTTTTTTATGTCAATCATTCGATTTTAACTTGCATATGATTTTAATCTTCCATAATATTGTTTGATTATAAGAAATGTAATAATTCGATATAAAATTTTCAAGCTAAAAAAAAAAAAAAAAAAAGAATTCAAGTTATAAAAATAAACAATATACATACTTTTATTCGGATAGCTTCACAAAAATTATTTACATAGAAAAATTTAATGGGGGAAAAAAATTACTTCGAATAAATTCAATAACTTCGTATAAATATAAATAACATTTTGATTCTTACTTCGTACATTTTTTTTTAAACATAAAAATAACTTATTTATCATATTCCACAGTATGTACACTTCGATGTAAATCATAATAATAAAAAATTTCACATATTTTTTATGAAATATAAAAATACTTATGATATGTATATCAACAAGTAATAAAATTTTAAGAGTCGAGAAGAGGTTCGTTTAACTTGTCCGCATCATATGGTATATTTCTCTTGTTGCCCGGTAATAACATTGGCACTATTTTAACACGAAGTTCATACAGAAAGAAATCCTGGCAAAAATGATAAAAATCGTTCCTGGTAGAAATAATACCGAGACGTGCCATTTCTTTCATTAGGGCAAACAATTCGTCTTCATAATCCAAGTACGATTTACACTTCATAATAAACTTCGTTACGTTCGATAATTGGTGTATAAATTTTTCGGAGGCCAATCTTGTTTCCAACTTAAATCTCGGTTCCATATGTTTCCATAAATATTTGTAAAGACGATCGGTGATCCACGGTTGAGGGCGAGGTAGTCGGGGTGGTTTATATTTCTGCCCATTCACCAAGAAAGCTCTATGAATTTGTTTCGTTGAATGATCTTGCGTTTTTAATGTTTGCAACTTTTTGTCTCTTCCAAATTCTTTTTTTCTTCCTTGGAAAAATGATTTTTTTTCAGGTTTCACCTTATTCGTTTCCATGCTAGCCATTTCCTTTTCTTTCACCTTTTCTAATTCTCGCCTTATCTCTTCTACTTTTTCTTTATCGCAAAGAATCTGCGATGCCGGCAGTGCATCATTCGGTGTCAAAAAGTTTCTAATACTCCTTTGTCCCTTTGAAACATTGCTATCTTTGTCAATACGAGATCGAATCACCGATGATATAAAATTTTTAGTTTTACTCGCTACTTTATTATTTTCTCCAACTTTTTGCTTCTTATTATCAGACAAAAATGATTTGTTTGCAATGGATCCTCGTTTTGTTGATTTGTTCTCAATTTCTTTCGATTCGGAAGTAGTAGATAAGTTTGATTCATTAAAAATTTTGCTTTGTCTCTTTAAATACGTATCCACCCGTTTATTTTGCAATTTGCCCAAGCGATTGTTTTCCTGTTCTTTTGAAATATTTCTATCTTCAATGTGCTTTTTAATCATTGATGGCATTAAATTTTCAGATTTATCTGATTCTTCGTTACGATTTTTCTCAATTGTTTGTTTCTCATTATCAGAAAAGGATGATATGTTTGCAATAGATGTTTTTTTTGTCGATTTATTTTCATCTGATTCAATTTCAAAACTAGAAGATAAATCTGACTCGTCGAAAATTTTGTTTTGTATTTTCAAATACGTATCCACCGATTTTTGTAATTTGTTCGAGCTTTCTTGTTTTTTTGAAATATTATTATCTTCGATATGCGTTCCGATCACCGATGATATTAAATCTGTAGATTTATTTAATGCTTCGTCATGATTTTTCCCAATTTTTTGTTTCTTATTATCAAGTAAGAATGACGCGTTTGCAGTTGCCATTTTCACTGATTTCTTTTCAATTTCTTCTAATTCAATTTCAGAAGTATTAGATAAATCTAATTCATCAAAAATTTTGCTTTGTCTCTTCGAATATGTATCCATTGATTCTTTTTGCAATTTGTTCGAATTTCTCTGTTCATTTGAAATATTTTTACTATTTCTTCCGATTATCGATGACGTTAAATCTTCAGATTTATTTGACGCTTCGTTTTGATGATTTTTCTCGATTTCTATATTAATTTCAGAAGTGGATAAATCTGATTGCTTGTAATTTTCATCGAAACTTTCGTTTTGTTTTTTCAAATACTTTAGCACCGATTTTTTTTGCGATTTGTTTGTATTATTACTTTTCGTCATATCTTCCCTATCTTCAATTACGTTTTCTCCGATTTTATCCACTTCTATTCTATTTAAAGTCTTAGAAATTTGTTGCGTTGTATTTTTAACTTCTTCTTGTTCAATTCTACTCACAGACGGAGAAATTGAAGGATCTTGCAATTTATGTAAACGACTACTTCTTCGTAAACTTTTATTTTCAGATGAATCAATTTTTGTCGCTTTTTTCACTAAAGATAATTGCTTTCTTATATTATTCAAATTCTTGTTTTTCGCAATATCTTCGATTTCTTTTTCTGAATCATGTAAATTCTTAGGAATATCTTCTATATTTTTGGTTTTAGATTTATCGATAGATTGTTTCGATTGTATGAATTTCGGTGATATATTAAAAACATTTATATTATCGTCTTCATCCGACACTCTTAAACGAAAATCTGTTAATTCGTTTTCTTGCTTATTTACAATTGGTTTATTTTTGTCTTGTATAGATGAATATAAATTTTCTTCTTCCGATTGATGTAATGAATGTTGTAATGTGGATGATGTTGATGTATCGTCATTTTTCTGAAATATATCTTGAAAAAGATTCTTTTTTTGATTTTTTCTTAATTTTTTTAAAAATTTGGATTTTGATTTACGAACATTAGAAAGATCATGATTTGTATCTGATGTATTATTCGATGTAATTGATTTATCAGTTGTTGTTTCAGAAATTTCTGATGAATTCAATATATGTTCTGCATCATTAGCTACTGTGCTTTCACATATTTTATTAGTGGTTTCTTGCTTTTCAAGTATATTTTCAAATAGATTTTCCTTTACATTCTTATAATGACGTGTCAATAATTTAGATTTTGGTTTCAGTATTTCAGAAGTTGTATCACTATTGTTACTTTCTTTATTATTATTATTATTATGTATAGATGAACTACTACCTTCAAGTATTGTACTCTGTGCCTTTGGTATTGGGAAATGGGAAGAATTGTATTCGTTATTAAATGAAAATGAAATTTGATTTTGTAGTATTTCATTAGACTCTGAAATTTCACTCATTACAGGAACTAAATGTTCAGTTGTGGATATTTGTGCTCGATCTTCATTATCAGAAGATATTTTTGAAGATTTTTTTTTCAATGATTTTGGTGTTTCTGATTGATTTTGTTTTAATACATTAACAATATATTTTTATTTTGATTTTTGTTATTTTTCTTAAAAATATTAGGCTTCATCTTTAAAACATTATTAGTGTTTAGACTGTCACTCAAATTACTTACTTGCATTTCATTTGATTGTTCAGCATTAAGATCTATTTTATTACTCAATGCAGATTTGTTTATTGAACTTTCTTTTCCAGGTTTTTGTGTAAATTCAGATGTAGTTATGGAATTATTTAAAGCATGTAAAAAAATATTATCTTTGCTTTTCCTTATTTTTGAACGTAAAAAATACTTTCTTTTTACAATTTTTGATTCTTCTTCAGATTCAGATGTTAATACATTGTTAATTGACTCTAATAAAATATAAAATATATAATTAATTATATAATTATCATAATCATTTTATAATATGTATATATATATTTCATATTATTAACTATATTATCTCATATATACATACCTTTAGTTATAATATTTTCATTCACTTTTGAGGAATTTGATATATTTGTAACTTCAAGTGCTTTCCACCATCCATCTGTAGCCTGACTTGTTTTTATTGAGAATTAGAATCTAATTGACAACTTGTTTGATTTAATATATTCGAAGCTGTGGAAGGTCGGATTATTGTATTATCTTCCAAATTTTTCCACCAATCAGCAGTAGTATATTCTAAAATATAAGCACTATAATGTATATTTAATCTACAATACTTAACCAACAGAAAGCTGTCAAACAAATATGAACGAACCATCACTGGAAATATCAGAATTAGAATTTAAAATTGCAGAACTATATCTGGATGAACGCCTATTTAAACTCTTTCTTTTAGCCATTTTTAATAAATTTTAAATATTGTTTCAATTTTTTCTAAAAATTATCATTTTTCGTATTACGATAACTAGATACAGTTTTAGGTTAAGTTTTAGTTTTAAGAATAAAAAATTTGTAAGATATTTTAATATCTTCTGATAATATTTAACGAATAAAATTCAAAAATAATAATTTTAACTTCAAAAATTTATGTGACAAAAAATATGTATTTTATGAGGAATTACTTTGATCACTATAATGATTCTTTTTACAATTCACAATCATCTACATATCTATCCAATAAAAGAGCTCAACGAATGAAGGAAAGACATAGGATAAAAACTATGAGAATCAGCGCCATTTCTAGAATACTACAAGTGAAATATATACAAAAAAAAAATAGTATATAATAGAAAAAGGATAGAGCTACAATAGCAATTGACTGTCAATGCCATCTTTTAATATTCAAATTAAAAAAAGCATTCAAAAGAGATGGCGTTAATGATCAATTCTTATTATTTTCTGTCTTTTTTCTAATATTGTTTTTTATATATTTTATATATATTTCATTTACAGCACTTTGAAAATGATACTAATTTCCAAATTTTTACCTGGTATCTATTTTTTTTCCTTGTTTATTTATACTTGTATAAAATTTATGCACTTGAAGGAAACGGTTTCAATATCTAATTAACTTTATTATTTTCTTTTCTCTAATGATCTATGATAAAAAATTTAACAAAATCTCTTTAATCCAAATTTTATATTACACAAGATATATATATTTTATATATAAATTAACTATATAACTGCATAATATATAATATAATGGATTTCTATTGAATAAAATATATTCATAAAATAATTTTAACTAGCTTTATATAATAAAAAATTGTTACATATTACATTATAATATTTTATTGTAATATTTTAAATATTTTCATTTTTTAAAGTTGATGAGTTAATGCAAATAAGAAACATGCTACAATAACATTAAATCATATTTTAAAATAATATTAAAATAATAACAATTTTCATAAATATTCATATCAGAAATCCTATTTATAATACATAGATAAATGAAATAGGTACTTGTAATCAGCCTTAAATAAATCTCTTACTTTATTGAATATTTATTTTACTTTTGCAGATGAACGAGATCTAAGATTTTTTTTAGTTGCTTGATCAACTTCTGGTAAATCATCATCTTCAGACATCATAGATTTTTTTCCTAAAAATAAAACTTAATGTATTTTTCAAACTAAATATACTTCAAACTAAATGTATAATAAAAAATTTCTTAGATTCTGCTTACCTTCTTTTTTCTTTGATTTTTGTTTTGATTTCACTGTTGTTTGTACAGGAACTACATTTTCTCGAGCGCGCTTAAGTTGTTTCGAAATAAATATATAAGATAAATAAATTTGGAAAATAACAATATAGCTTAAAGCTGTGAATCGTATAATGGGAATATTAAAATTTCCAACAGCATAATCAAATACACTTTCCATTTGACCTAAACCATAAAGAAACACTAACATTGCAATAGTTAGTGTTGCGACGCGTACAAAAATGTATGTTGAATTTGCAACAAGAAATGCCACTAAAAATAATTCCATCATTTTATTTAAAAAATAGATGCAAATATAATTATAAAATTATAATATTTACTGTGATCATACTTACTTTTTGTTATCTTTTCTTTTTTGCCCACAAAATGAATAAGCCTAGCTCCGTGAAGCATAGCATCTCCTATATAATGTGGAACTAATAGTAAGATACCTACTTGCTGGAAACTATTTAAATAAATAAATATTAAAATATAATATAATTAATAAAACATTATATAATATATCACATATATAAGAATTATATCATACTTAAAGATATAAGCTGCAAGAATGGAAAGGAATCCAATAGTTGCTTGTACAATTCGAGGTGGTATATCTTCCTTCTTCACTCTTTGAAAGTATAATTCAGGATAACAGTGCAACCAATAAGCAAGTTGTCCAATAAAGAACAATTTTGAGGAAAAAGATAATGGTATTGGATATTCCTTCCATAATGAAATAATATTTAATAACAAGTTTTCTCTGAAAAGATATATTTTTTACATAAAATTAAAATTTATATTAAATTTTAATTATATAAAAAATAATAATATATTTAATGCAATAAATGTTCTACCTGATAATTATGTCTATACCCCATATAACAGATAATATATAAAATAAGACAAGTTGACTGGATTCATTAAATTTAGCAAGTTTTACTTTGCTAAGATGTAAACGCTTTGAAACTTTCTGAAATAAAATATAAATATTATTTTTTTATAAATATTAAAAATAACAAACTTATAGAAATCAATGTAACTTACATCAAAGATATAATCTTGAAATACAGCATGCATTACAATGGTTATTAAAAAGGAAAAAAAGACAGCACATGCATCTTTCCAACCAGTAGTATATTTCATTGGCATAGTTGGATCTTCAACATCTGAAGTTATATTGTGATGAATAGCAATAAATGTATATGCCCATGGTGATGTTGCCTAAATAATTAAAGATAAAGATAAGATAAATGAATCAAGTTAAGATAATTAATAAATAATAAGAACATTAATAAATTAACATAATTTAAATTTCATTTAAGTTTACTCAATTAGCTAAAGTTAATTTAATACCTATTTATTAACAAATATCAGTAATAATAAATAACATATGGTCATCATACGAATAATTAAAATTAATATTACATATAAATTTATCGTTAAATATTGATCAAATATAATAATGTAAAACGAAAAGAAATCATCAAATCAATATGAAAAATGTCATTGAAATTAATACCAACCTGTATCATTAGACCCGTTACGAAAATCATAGCCACGCAAGAAACAATATCTCCATGATTTTGAATAATGAATTCATGACTGAATATAGGAGGATTTTTATTTGAATTTTTGCGACCTTTTATTGCAACCATCTTTTGCAATATAAACTTTTTTCTGGTTACACACTGTCAATATTTCTATATAATAACGAGTCACAGCACTGCCGTCAAATAATTAAATATGTAGCATGTACTCAATTGCCAATAACCTACACATATACATACCTGTTGAAAAGCAATACATTAAACATAAGCCAACATCGAACAATGTGGCGCTTTCGGTCTTCATTTGTTGGCACTACGTAAATCAAAATAATATCGAATATTTATGAAAATTATTAATATTTATGTATTTCTTTTATTTTTATAATGTTAATTAATATATTAATTTTTTTATAATATAACAAAAATTGCTTTGTTTAATAATACTGTACTCATTATTATATAGATGCTATGTTGTTTTCAAGTGCGACAATTATATTATAATCATAATTATATCATAATGACATATTTCCCAATTTCTATGAGTAATGAATTATTTATAATAAAACAATAATATATAATAATAATAATAACAGAAGAATTTATAAGATACATTTTATTAATAGGTACATTTGATTAGGTACATTTTCAGTGGTCATAATATCCTTATGCACATATTCATATGTATTTCTTGTTCTATAATTACATAATATTATATAATTACCACAAATATTTCATAAATATAAAGTTTAAATATCTATTTAATAAATAAATACGTCAGTTATGCAACAGTAAAGAGAAAATACATATTTAACAATTCAATATCAGAACGAAATAATTTCTAAATTTCATATACATTATGCCAGAGATAAACTGTAAAATTCATTGTCAACAATGAGTCAAAAATATATTTCTGTAATCGTAAAAATAATACTCTTCCAACATTATACCTTTATTATATTACTAGTTTATCATTAGTGTTATATGACATTAACGTTTATATATGTAATATTTGTACATTATATGTTTATCAATCAACATAATTATCAATGGATCATATGATTTTTTTTGCTACAATGCTTTTAAATGAACACATATGATATACAATAAAATACTAATCACACGTAAAGTTATACAAAATACATTTTGTGTGTATAGTATTTGTATTTTTATACGCAAAAACCTATGCACTTACTGTAGTATTAATATTTTTTATTTATTCTTTTTATTATAAATTTTTATAATTTCTTTTATATATATTCCAATGCTATTTTATTTATTCGCGCTTTAATACATGAATATAAGTGCTGCTTAAGTTTCGTTTTGTTTATTAGGCCACAATAAATTTATATTTTTAACAATCTTATATGAAGGCAATGCAAAGGAATATCTTTTAAATTGTTATAATCTTTTTATAAAGATTATTTTCACGGATAAAATTTTGTTTACACGAACAATTATTTTTAACAATAAATAGATATTGATTTTAAATAAACAATGTGCATAATTTTCTTTTATAAATAGACATATAATTTTATTGTTATATAATTAAACTTAATTTAGGATTCCATAAAAAATACATATTATACTGTACTTTGTATATACTTATTCATGTCATATTTATGTCATATTTATGAGAAATATTTTATCTCAAATAATTAATTTGACTGCTGTTGATTTACATAAACATTTTAAGAACGATGACCAGGAATGTAAGTGCTCATTGATATGATAACATTGTGATCATTGCACAATTTGTATTTTATGTTAAATGGACGTGTCACTTAGTTTCATAGAAGTGTATTAGTATTTTCTACATGTATTGGCAAACTTTAATTAACATTATTTCATAATATTCATATCATTTTTTAAAGATAAATAAATCAGTAAAATATCATGATCATTTATATTAAAATAACTTACTTGGATCTAGAACTTTATAGGAATTGTATGTTTCTATATTTGAAGAAATAATTTCGAGTTTAATATCTGTACGATGATAATACGAGTACAATAATAACATGAATTAAATCTAAATATTCTTGTGGTCACAAGCCTTAAATCTTAGCAAAACCTTTTAACGTTATATGCAACCAGTAAGACTTAGGTCTTTAGTTTGTCCTAAGTATCGCTTGTCGTTGCAAATTATGTTTTGAGGTAGACAAGTATATTCTTTGAATAGCTTTTCATAGCTATAGGTAAAGCTAAACCAAATGATAAGTTTCCATTAAAGAAAGATGCCACATTATGTTTAATTTTATATCTCAGACCACAAATATAGCCTAATAGATTTACTTGCAAAATTGTAAAGTAGCCATGAAAGCTATAATTTGATTTTTAATTCAAATTGTTGCAATCAAAAAATTTAAAGAGTACAATATCTTCTAAAGGCGATTTGCCATTCTAATGAATTTGTGTTAAAGCTTTAAAAAAAAAAAAATTAGATAACATAAATATCATGCACTTTTAAGATTCATACAATTGCAATATAATTATTGTGATTGGTATCAAAATTTTAAATAGACGAGGATAAAATCCAATCTCAAATATATTAAAAATGTTCATAAAATCTAAGATTTGAAGCTATTGCATTCAAATGTCGTATTGAGAGATAAACATCATTAATTGTATTCATTTTTATCATTATATTCAAATATAATCGTTATATCGAATGCTTTTTTACTATATTATAACATTTAAATGTTTTATATCATGTTTTATATCATGTAATATTTATATTTTTGTTTATTCTATTTTTCGATGTTTTCTCGCGCTTATATGTTCTAATAACATTCAATGTAAATAAGAATATAATTTTCAGTTTTTATCTATGAAAATGTTTTTTAAATGTTTCAATATCTTCATTTTCTTATATTACTAAAATATAGCTTACCTTCATATTTCAGGTACTATATTTGTACCTACTTCTTACTTAATTTTAAACCGCAATCAAAATATATAATTATATATTTTTTAAACAAAATATTAATCTATATTTTGTGATTATAGCAATAATATGAAATAATTTACTATTTATTGAAACAATTCACATTAAAAAGATTAAGTTATTAGCGCGCATTTTATTATTATGTAATTGAATGTATAAACGATACGTGTGTGCATGATACATTCTGATTTCATGTTAACCTACTAATGTTTGCAGAATATTAAATTCTATGATTGTATATTCAAAGTTTGACATTTTTTCTCTCATAAATATCAACGCAAAATAATTATTGTAATGTCATACAATACTAACAAAATCTACTATGAATAGTGTATATGGAACATTACCTTTTACTGCAAACATTTGTAATTTATACGAGAGAATCATTATCAACATCCATTTCTTCTACAGTGATATAAAGCCCTTCTTCCTCATATGTAGATTCGTGTTTTGCTAAAACTTTAAGTAATGGTCGTAATTTCATCCACCATTGATATGTTGGAATGCGATGTCTAAAAGTTTTATAAAACATAATTAAATATTTTTAATAGTTAAAATTAATATTAATATATTGTTGCTTACTCAAAATCCGTCATTTCAAGAAGTTCTGCAAACGGTGTAAATTTATAATGTTGTCGCACAATACCAATCATAACTGCACTATCAGCATCCATTGCTGTTACTTTACCATCAGCATCAGTATTTTTTTTTAGTTGTTCACTAAACCATTCAACTGCTTTAGAACCCATTTTTGTGCCTAAATTTCGATCAAATGGAGTTGGTGAACCTCCTTGCTGCATATGACCTATAAAAAAATTGGTAAACTTGATAATTTTTTATTGTTTTATTAAAAATATAAAACCATAATATTTATTCCAATAATAATACCAATAATATTCATTCTACAGCTGAAGAGGCCTTTTCCTTCTTCACTAAAAAGTCTTTGCATAAAATCTGTACTATAATTTAAGTTTGCATTTTCATTTCTTAAAATAAGACCTCTTTGTACACCTTCAGACATTTTAGCAGCCATTGCAATAACATCTTGATTTAAATCTTTAATATTAAACTTTTCTTCGAAAATATATGCTGCATCAGCTCCACCGGCTAACCCAGCCAGAGTAGCTAAATAACCACAATATCCACCCATAGTTTCAATAATAAATACTCGACGCTTTGTACCTTGTGCAGACTGACGGATTCGATCACAGATCTAAAAATAACATAAATATATTCAATCATGCGAATTTTATATCAATAAATTTATTACAAAATATACTAGATATGCGAAATCCTACCTCTGTAATTTCATTTAAAGCAGTATCACATCCTAATGAAAACTCAGTTCCTGGAACATTATTGCTAATAGTTGCAGGAATCATCGCAATAGGAATTCGAAATTCTTCAAATTTGTCTCTGGCGTTGATAAAGGTAAGTCCTGTTTGATAGCCCTTTTAAAAAAATAGTAATAATAATATATTATAATAATAAACAAGCTATTTTAAAAAACATAAATTACTTCAACATAGTTTAGGTCTAATCATTACCTCAAATCCTCCTACAATAAGTAGAGCTTGAATTTCATATTCTTTAAGTCTCTGAGCAATTTGTGGTAACTGGTCCTCTTTAGGTGGAGCACGTTTAGTTCCTAAGAGAGCACCACCTTGTGATACCCAACCAGTGACAAAAGGCCAATCCAGTAATTTAAATTTTCCAGTTATAAGGCCTAAGATTCCATCACAAATACCATATACCTAAAATTTATCATGAGATATACATCATTATATTACAAAAAATTTTATATTATAATTATAAATAAAATTTTATAATTCTAAGATTATACCTTATCTCCTCGATAAATACAATTTCTAACAAAAGAACGCACAGCGGCATTCATACCACAAGAAGGTGAACCAATATGTATTACACCTAACGTATAATGGCAACTCTGTAACAAAATTCAATATTAATATTATAAAGAAATTTTATATCAATTCATGCAGCATGCACATAAAAAAACAAACGCGTTTTGCATTTGAACATGATGTTTAATATTTAGATTGAAAGGCATTATAATGCTTATGTTTATTTTTATTTTAACAAAAATATTATAGCAGATAAATTTATTTAGATAAAAAAAAATCTATCAAGATTTAAAAATTAGTTAACTCACTTGTCCATACAAAGTGAATTGCTAATAAAAAAAAAAAGATGAAAATATCAAAAAAGCTATTTTATGAAGCATCAAAATATAAAAATATGTGTACATATAGCTTTTTTTCAATGCAGATTTACCTTTGTTAATGTGGGACTGTTACTTTCCTGAAGCAATATTAAATAAAAAATATAATAAAGATAAATTTTCATTTTGAATATATTCTAAATTAATCAG